AGGAGCAATATATACAAGAGCAATCATGTCAGCAGGAGCAATATTTAGAGCAGCAACAACAGGAGCAATCTTTTCAGCTGGAGGAACCGATGCAGCAGGATCAGGAACTACCAGAGCAGCAATCTTTCGATCAGGCTTTAGATAGTTTGCCCGATCACGCCTCTGATCATATTCCTGAGGACATGGAGGCGGCGGATGTTCAGGCAGAAGCCGAGGCCCATCGCCTGCGATCCGAGCAGGAAAAAGAGATTGACACGATAATCGATGAGAAGGTACGGGAACTGGAGCAACTGGACTTGGGTCAGCATTTGGAGCCACGTCCTTTGACGGCCAACGATAAGATCACCGAGTGGATGAAGTCCAGCGAAATTGAACAGCAAGTCCATGAACCCAGCCCCACAGCTGAAGCAGATGTATTGGACTCCGCCCTTGAGATATCTAAGACGGATAAGACCCTCGACGAACTCCTTGAGACCGTGGCTGAACTGGACGAGATATACACGGACTTCAAGGTTCAGAGGGATACGTACAAGAATACCATACAAAATGAGTTGGCTGGATTTGAGGGTCGTGCTCCGCTGCAGGTGGAGGATAGCTTCGATGACGCGGCCACCTACACGAGCCTGCAGATTGCCTTCAAGAATCCCGTCCTCATACCCATGGATGACATCATGCCTCCAACTCCCCCCATGTCGCAATGCGCTCCCGAAGATGCCCATCAGCATTACGATCCCGTGGAGGTGAACTCACAGGCCCGTAAGCCGGCGACTCCATTGCGACCAGTTCCTCCAGTCCCGCCGCCGATTCTTACAGTTCCATTTCCACCAGAAGAGGAGAAATTACCGCCATTGCCACCGAAAAGGATTCGAAAGCAGGACAGCAATGCTGAGAATCGTTCAATCGAGGCCAATACGGTTCAGACCAGGCCATCTACAGGCGAGTCTCCGCTAAACAAAAGACTCCCTCCCGCTCCAAAGAACCCGAACTTCAATACTCTGCCCAGGCAGAAGAAACCGGGATTCTTTTCGAAGCTTTTTTCGCGACGCAAGAGCAAACCAGATTTGGCCCAGGGGCAGGAGAACAGTTCCGTAATGGATTCCAAAGCAAATAGCAGGGAGCCGAGTATAGGTCACTTTAACATGCAGGACCCGATGAGGGCATCTCTGCGCTCCTCCAAGTCAGCCGCCCCGTTCATCTCGAGTCCGGCGCCTGCAAAATCCAGTCCTGTCAAGGCCAAGAAACCAGGATCAAAGCTGGCCAAGCCAGTGGGCAGAAGTGTGAGCAGTGTTTCCGGAAAGAGACCCACATACCTAAATGCTGATGTGGTGCACATACCGCTGAAAGGTGACAGTGCCAATAGTTTGCCCCAGCAGCAGCGAACAGAGGGCTACTCCCAATCCAGCACGATTTCGGTGGGAGCAGGATTGGATAGACGCACTGCATCTGCCCTTCAGCTGGCTGACATACCAATTAGCGAGGGCGGAATGGAACTGGTTGCCATTGCCGATCGACAAAGCTTGCACAATTTGGTCAGCTCCATCGAAGGCCACTTCAATGTCCAACTGGACCCCAATCTGGACCTAACCGAGGCCGAGCACTTTGCCCTGTACACGAGTATTCCGCCACTTGCGGCGGCCAGTGAATTTGATGAGACCTCCGCCTACTATGCTCCCGTGGATGCTGGCGAGATCCTAACGCCGGATGAGGTGGCCAAGCGATTGGCCGCTGCAAATGGCATCTAGATTTGTTGATTTGATTGTTTATATTCCTTATAGGCAAACGAACCGAGGAAAATCCTCTAACGAAACCCCATAACGAAGCAAGTTGGCTTCAAGCCAGTGGAAATTGTATTGTATTTCCGGGAAACTATTTCCGTAAACCCTGGCACCACAAATTGTCCACTTGTTGTAAGGCTGGCTGGAGCGCAATGACTTCAGTACCTTCATGAATTTGAATTTGTTTTATAATTGATAATTGTGCTAAAAGTATCCCCAAATAATTTGTAAGTGATACCAGGCAAAAGACCCTCAAGAAATGGGTCAAACCCAATGATTTGTTTGTTGTCCAGGTGGCCCATTTAAAGGGGCCAACCTAACTATTGTATTTAAGCGAAAACACTCAATTTTCAGAGTAGCGTAAGATTTTCCAATGGAAGCGAATATATTGTTTAAATTGAAACCGCAAACTCGATCACATGTACCTACAACACGGTGTGTATATTTTGTCTTATAGATCCAGCGCACTTGAGGCGGAAACGTCAGAAGACTGGCGGTGATCCCATGCACCTGCTGCTCCAGCAGCAGCAGAAGCAGCAATTGCAGAATGACCACCAGGATGGCAGTAAGTTGACTGTTGAGATTTTTCCTAAACTGGTGTCGGTCTTCTCTATCCTCTATTGTGTCTGTCGCGACTTTGAGTCGACTTTTACCATGTGCATGTGCTCCACTTGGATCCACTTGGATCCACTTGGGTACATACGAGTACTTTGTTTTGAGATGCCAGCCATCTAACTGAATCCTACCTAGTCAAATCCTCAAATCATCATATATTTGATGTTTTCGGTATACCAAAGACTACTTAACAAATCATCGCCTCTGATGACGTATTACTCGAATAGACTCTTAGAAACTCTTAGAAAGCACTCAATCAATGCACAATCCACTCAACCAGAACACCATGAAATCTACGTAAAGGGAAGAATGTCCTCGCTATATTTATATATTGATTTACACGAATAGTCGAAATTATAGTCAAGGAAGAGAAATTGATTTGAAATCAATATGAAATTTTTGTCGCTTTTCTACTCGTTTACATGCGAAGAATATTTGATATTTTTATATACGGAAAATTACAAGTTTGGTAAAAATATTTTGTATAAAATACTGTAGCTTAATAAAACCGAAAAAAAACAAGAAAATTCAAAAATAAAATACAGGTTTTTTATTAAAAAGGAACTGCTTATAGGTTGAAGTAAGTTTTGCTCTAGGATTTCTTACTTCGGAAAAGTGTTTACAGTTCTGAGTAAGTTTTTATCAGAATTCGCAAAAGTTTATTTCGTTTTTTTGGCTGTTTTATTTTGTTTTGAAGAGCTAATTGCATGACTTCGTATTATTATTTTCATTTAGTTTTTAGCAATGACAGCGACTTTTTTTATTTTATTATTGGCCAGGCAGAGTCTGTAATTGCTTTGTTCCACTAACGGTTCTGAAAACTATCTTATATTTTATGATTCCCTTCTTTCTTTGGCTTGTATCTGTTTTGCGTAATATTGTTTGCTGTTTGATTTTAACTTTATGTTTGATTTGCTCTTTGGTAACTCTGAATGCTTGTTTTATTGTAGGACAAACTAACATGAATTGCTGGAATGCCCAAAACATACCGCCCATTAAAACGGAACCAAGAGGTGAGTTCAGAGCATGAAAACTAAAACCCAAGTTCAAACTTCCATAAACACAATATCCCCTATTTTTACCTCCCAAATGAAGTTTCGACTGTTCCATATATGCACGTATATTAAGTACTGCTCGCTTCGTCTTATAGATACCTCGCCACAGCCCTTCGGGCTTTCTTATCGAGCGCCTCCCGAGCTCACCCCCTCGCCGCAGCCGCTGTCGCCATCGAGCAACTACAACCACAACAGCACGCCCTCGCCCTACAACATGGCGGTGACGCCCACCAATGGCCAGCAGCAACTGATGTCGCCCAACCACCCGCAGCAGCAGCAGCAGCAGCAGCAGCAGCAGCAACAGCAGCAATATGCAGCACCCGATCTGGGGAGCAACTACAATCCGTTTGCCCAGCAGGTCCTTGCCCAGCAGCAACAGCAGCAGCAGCAGCAGCAGCAGCAGCAACAGCATCAGCAGCACCAGCAACACCAGCAACACCAACAGCAACAGCAGCAGTCCTTGCAATTCCATGCCAATCCCTTTGGCAATCCCGGAGGCAACAGCTGGGAAAGCAAGTTCTCGGCGGCAGCTGTGGCAGCAGCGGCAGCAACTGCGACAGGAGCAGCACCTGCCAACGGCAACAGCAATAATCTCAGCAATCTCAACAATCCCTTCACCATGCACAACCTGCTGACATCGGGCGGAGGTCCTGGCAACGGCAACAATCTGCACTGGAACCTGACCACAAATCATCTGGTGGGTAAAGCAAGAAGCCTACTTTGAAATACTTCGAAATTAAATATGCATATATCGAACTTCTTACGGCAATGGCTTTTTTTTAACCCAAAACCCTTCATCTTACAGCACAACCAGCATACGCTTCACCAGCAGCAGCAACTTCAGCAGCAGCAGCAGCAGCAGCAGCAGCAGTACGACAACAATGCGCCCAGCAATAACAATCCCAACAACGGCAATGCCAACCTTAATAACAATAATAACGCCGCTGGCAACCAAGCGGATAATAATGGGCCAACGCTCAGCAATCTGCTCAGCTTCGATAGCGGGCAGTTGGTGCACATAAACTCAGAGGATCAGCAGATACTGCGCCTCAACTCGGAAGATCTGCAGATATCAAATCTCTCCATATCCACGTAATACCATTTTGAAAACGAATCCAATGCAGACAGAGCATAAAACGGGGGAGGCAGTAGGATGATGATATGATAATGTTGTAGAATTAAACCTAACCGACCTGGTCGTCGTCTAAATGATTGTTTAGTGCTGTAATAACTAGTCCTAAGAAGAAATGTAATGTGTTTTTGTAGGAAGTAAGGTTTTTTAAATATGAATAAAATAATCGTTTTAGCAGAAAGTAATAATCAATTATGGCAAACTAATTTTGTTTTGGTTGGCAAAAACAATACTGTTCTAAATATCTATCTACATTAATCGACGAATGTGTTTAAATCGGTGGGTAAATTTGCCATGCATATAATTGAATTTTAATTTGCCTTTGAAATAATGAGTTGTTAATGGCTTTAAGCAAAGTAGTCCGCTTCAGTTCTATCCAAAAATCGTATCGATACTGTTGTTAAAACTGAATCATAAGCTAAGATGAACCTACATTATACTGTAGTAGCAGGTGTGATATTTTTAATGCTTTATGAAATGCATTTCGTAAGTACAATTCACAGTGCAAGTGCTTCCCTAATTGCATTGTTTTTAAGCTGGAAAGTCGTCGTATCGAATTTACCAATATAAAATGTTCTTCAATGGACGAAGAATTTAGTAACATCGAATATTGCTTTCTGAAAGCTGCGAATCGCTCTTACAAATACTTATCACTCAAGATCCGGCTCCTTAAGATACCTGTACATCAATTTACGGTGCGAGATAGAGATTTTACCTGCCTAAACCTTTTTAATAAATTAGTACTACTTTTAGGTGAACCTGGCATTACGCAAGCGATCAAATGGTCTAATGCCCTTTAACCAAAACATTACTTTTGACGGCTGTAAGATGGTGGCTGATGCCGGAAATAGAATGATTTCATTTCTCTTTTCCTTATTCAAGCCGTACTCAAACATCAACCACTCCTGTCCCTATGATGTAAGCCTTTTCATACCTGATGTTGATCCTGTACCATTTCTGAGATCTTTTCCAGCACGACCTTCTGGTGGACAGGCTGCCCACCCACTTCGTACACCACCAGTTTACCGGATATATACCATTTCCCGAGGGCGATTATGTATTTAACAGCAACTGGATTGTAAATGGTTCAAATCGAGTCAGTGTTAGGGTCCACTTCTCGTTTACATGATGTACGGTGCGCATTAAAGTAAATGAAATAAGGATTAATTATGATTTATGAAGCAATGTAAAGGTAACATATTGAAAATCGAAACAAAATATTGAAAATACCAACTCTAAAAAACGAAATAAAGGTAACTTTTAGGTGAATTTATCTTGTTCTTGACCTTTACCGGCCTCCTCCAGATCTGTAGAACTATCTATACCGTGCACCTCATGCTGCGAGCCCCTAAAAAAAAAACCCTTCAGCTTGCTTACCGCCCCAGGAAGCGAAGGTCCAGGTGGCGGAGTACCTGGTAGCATGTAGTGGGCTACAAAGTGCAGCATGCGATAGGTGGCATGCTGATAGGCCTGACTTTGGGCGAAGCATTGGCGGATCCTTTGCCCCAAGGTGGCGGCCAGGCAGTTCTGGAGGGTGACCAGCTGCTCCTCCTTTTCCTTAATTGCCTGCTCAAGTTTCAACGTTTTTTCCAGCACTTTGCTAATGGATTCGATTGTTGATCACTATGGAACCCCATTTGTACAAGTAAGTATGGTTTACTCACCTGAACTGCTCGTCAGATCCCCGCTTGAGATCCTGCAGCTTGGCCATGCTTTCGCGTAACTGATCGATCAAGTCACGCTTGAGGGCCAGATCGATACGGAGCTGATCCAATTGGCTGACCAGTTCATCCTGAGCGGATTGGCTTGCCTGGTACTCGCGTTGCAAGCGAGTCAACTGCTCAAGCTCCTGCCGCTGCTGGCAATGCACATGGAAGAGTTCGCTCTTCAGTTGCTGCTGTATTTCCTGGAGATTCTCGATATCCCGGTCCTTGGTTGCCAGCTCTTCGGCAAGCTTCTCCTTTTCGGCTCTGGTCTGCTCTAGCACTACACTTAGTTCTTCATAGGAGAGTTTCATCTGGGCATTTTCACGAAAGGACTGCCTAAGCTGATCATTTAAGGTTTCGTTGCGACGTTTCTCCACGGAAAAGAGGGAATTGTAAACGTGCAATTGGTTGCGAATCTTAACGAACTGGAGGATCAGGGCTTTAGTATAAGGACTTACGATTAGGAAACATTGATTATCATACATTTTTCTTGTAGTCCTCCACCTGATCGGTAAGTTGGCGAACCTCCTCTCGCCTCCTGCGCCAAGCGTGCAGCATAATGGTGTTAAAGATTCTCAAGCTGGCCACTCGGGCATCCTGATCTGGACCCACCACAAAGCTCATCTGTCCTTCAATTAGGGCGTTGTCCTGCAGCACCAACTTCGCCATCTTGGTCTCCAATCCCGAGACACCATCAACTTCCTGCGACTGCTGCTGAACAGCTTTCCGGGGCGAACCCACATGGGCCACCACCTGATAGTTTCCCGTGCGACGCGCCTCTTTGAAATCCATTTGGGAAAGCGATTTGCGCACTCGGAAATTAAGCAAGGTCGAGGTCTGCTGACGCTTGAGGGTCAAGTAGGGGGTCAAGGAGGAGGGCTCTCTGAGTAGACTGGTCTTGGGCATAATCGAATAAACCGATTGGCCAGAACTAGACACTGTGGTGGTCAAGGAGTTGTCCGAGGAAGAGGGTGTCAGTAGCACCGCCTCGGGTATTTTTTGCAACTGTTGCTTGTTTTTGTCTGCCAAGCTAATAGGGGCTTACACAATGAAAAACTCAACTATTTCTTAACTTACGCATTCTCCTTTTTCAAGTAGCGCTGTCCCAAAATGGGGCGCTTCTTTGCCTGTCCAGAAAGAAGAGATTTGGAGTAAACGGTTCGGGGCGATCCCTTCTGAGGGATTCTGGTCAAACCAGTCTGTTTGCCCTGGCGAATTCGTGGACTTTTCGGGAACATACCGAATAAAAATAATTTTTAAACTTGTTTGGAAGCAATGACAAGCTGACAAGAACTTTTGTGAATTGCTCAAGACGAACAGAAATCAATAAGAAACTGAATTTAAGCAATAGAAGCACACGAAGTATCCAATGAAGTCAAGGAAGGGGCCTACTTAATGTTGTAATTAAAAAGTATGTGTTGTCATAGGTTTCGTTTTAAGCAAAAGTTAACGGGTTTGCTTAAGACAATATTAAATATTAAAATAATTCACATTGAATAAGCAAAATTTTTTTTGTAAGATACTACTTAGTCAATATAAAGCCGATACACCAAGAAAAACAATTTTCTATATTTTCTTAGGCAAATTACAAGTAAATTGTAAGCATACGTTTTTTATTCTATAGGTAAGAAAAGGAATTCCTTTGTAAAGTCATAGCGCAAGTAGGCATTGGGTTCAAAGGCAAACGATATCCTGCTGCGATGTGCCCCGACCCCTTGGCCAGGACATCCGGTTTGGTTCTCACACATTGTAAGGAAAATGATGCGCTAGCAGCTTCCGGCTTCTCATTTTGCGGCCCATTTCCCTGGGGCCGCAGTTTCCGCTACGTTGGGCGCCAAATATGCGTTCGAACCGAGTTCACCACACTGAGCTTTTTCCGCAAACTCACCACTGTGGCGGCGTGTGCGCAGGCAGAACAAGCTTTCGGCCCTACGACAACTTGGTAGGCTGTTGTTTTTGGCTGTGGGGGGTGGCTGGGTGGTGGATTGGGGGTTGTGCAGGAGGTGGTGGGTGAAAGACTACTCTGCGTGTTGGCCAAGGCGTCGGCGGCTTCATTAACTGTTCGTCGCTGGTGGCAAACGGTTCTTCGCCTCCTCCAAAAATCCACCTAAACAAAATTCGACCAAAACTTGCGATTTCGAAAAAGTAACGTCCAAAGCGAAATACAAAACCATTGAATAATTAATGTAAATAAAATTCAGTTGAAAAAATCTCATTTAAAAGTGCTCAAAGTGTATATACATATCTGTGTGAACGTGTTTGTGACTACGAAATATTCCAATCGAACATAAAATTCGAAAGTCTCGACTAAATATCGAAAATCAAACAAAGCATATTGAATTATTGCCACGGCTGGAAATTCTGATTTAGGTGAGTTGTGCCTATAAATAATCTAGCGCTGTGCGATTACAAAATTCCGTTTTGTTTATAAATAATTAAGAGCGTATTCACCTAAGCCAGAACATCAATGAAATTGGGTTTATCCCAGCAGATCTATTAAAACCTAAACAGGTATCCCGGAATCTTACTCATTTGCTTACGTGTTGGGGAAAAAGTTACTTGATTACAAGTATTAAATCACCCCTCGATCATTTACCAAATCAGCGTCATTTTCTGGTGACCTGTTTTGCGGTTCAGTCTGGAATACTATTAAAGCCCATATCAAGATACTGACGTGTTAACTGGAATCAATTTTTATTAAATCGGCGCGCGCCTCTAATTCCGAGATTTCTCGTTGTAAAATTCTAGGAAAGTAATGCATTATTAAGGGTTAAAAAGTAAAACGTTTCAGTCACAGTGTTAATACATATGTTAAATCATATTATCCTATAAATAGATAATACTACCGAGAAACTAACATTAGTATAATGGTTTAATTGAGCTTTTATACGTGCATTTTGTATGTACTTATAGCACGGTGACAAATCGTTTTCATTTTGAGGGAAATACAAACGGAATTATAAAATATCTGCAAATTATTGTTGGTTTTTTTAAATCTTTACATTTAAAAAGTATATTTTCCACCTGTTTGTGATTGAGTGTGTTATGCCATCCTATTGTATCAATTATTGTATCATCTTTGTTATATATCATTGTATAAAAGTGTAGAACTCATTTTTTGGGAAATAAAGGGCATTTTCAAAGTGAACAAACGAAGCCAAGTGCAGCAACAAAACTGACCTTTGAACAATTAATTCACACTCACAGAACGGGAAAAGCAATGCAGCAATGCACAACTGCAAATTCCATAAAACTCTGAATTAAAGAAAAATGCCAATAAGTTTTAATCCACATTAGCCCACACGACTCTTGCTTTTTAAACGCTGACACATTAATTAATTAACAGTGTTTGCGCTCTGAGTTGTTGTTTTTCTGAAGATGATGTTGTTCTTTATTCCTTAAAAGACTAAGACAACACAAAAGTGGTGTCTTTCTCCATCTGTGTTTGCGTTACCTTAACTTGTGACAACCTTGATATGGTCGCAAAAAAGATGTGTGCACAGGGAGAAATTTGTGAAACCAAACCAAAATCTATTTTAAAATATTTAAACTTCGAAAAATGTAAGAACATGGTTCCGTAAACCATTACAATTTACCTAACTTAAACAATATATGTTATATTTAATAATTTTATAATTACACTCTCTTTTTTACTCACACATTTTTTTGTACAAATTTATTTGACGTATTTGCACCTGTAAGATACTGCCAATATCGGTAACAAAATCTGCGCGTTGCATGCGGAACTCCATGGCCTTATAAACAACTCCTGCAGTTACCACTTATGTAATGCGGTAAGCAGAGTGACTGGACTGGGAACTGGAATGGCAGGCTGGCCTCCCCCCACTCAAATTTCCCCCTCTCCGAAGCTGATGATCTCGCCAGAGCTCTCCCAGCGCTTTTCTCTCGGCCGATTTCCGCATGGGCAAACACCAAAACACACACGTACACCCGATATAAGGCCCAATCGAAAGTGATTGTGTGCGAGCGGCACAATTGTGTTTGGTGAGCCGCAGAAATTACGTATACGTATATTGGTGGGGCGATGATTCATCGTCGATTCGGGGAATCCAAAAGCCAATCGAGTGCCGCAAAGCCAAAAAGCAAGACAAGGCAGACGGACTGGTTTTTGTTTCACCTTAACGTTTTCTTCATTTATGTCACGCCAAAGTTTTGCCAATTCGCAGGGTGTTTTCTTTTGTTTTGGCCAAGCTCTTCAAAGTAATTGCTTCTAAAAAAAGGAGATTAGACTTAAATTTATTGACCTAAATGCCATTTCCGGTGATAATTAAAATAAGTAGTGTCTATCAAGACAGTAGATAATAGATTTAATGCTTGGAATGTTGATTGGAATGCTAGGGCTATTCCTATTAATTCTATAACAAGTACCCATAGCTCATTTCATCGTGGAGATTTGTCAAAA